AATCATATTGAGGTTGCAATAGGAAGATAACTTAAATTCACACTATTTATGAGAAGAGAAGAAAATGTCTTCTATCTCTTTTCAAGTTCATAGTTTATCGTATTGAGTCATTTGTTCTATGTTACACGACAATAGTTATATCATTGTTGAAAATATTTTCATTCGAACTCGGTTTTTTTCGTTTTTCATGATCAATCATTTTTTGACAATCTTTACAAAAATATGTCCTTCTACAAACCTAGTGATTTTAAGCATTGAACTTTAATGAGCAGATTTTATTATCAAAAGAGACAAAAAAGATGTGATTTGCTATCATATATGACATTTCTCATTTTCATCGCTTCACAAATTAATAATGACATGTTTTCGAAAAATGTAATGATACAAAACATGACAGATTTTTTATTTTTATACACATATAGTTGGGTCGAATTTTAATTATCTATATTAGTTATCTGATTCATTTTTCTGTTTTTTTGTGAGATTGTCTGACGATTAATTTGTTTTTGGATGCATGCAGCAGAAAGTGAAAATTGAGTTGGATTAAAATTCATCTATTAATAATAAAATCATATTTTTGAAACTCTTCTTTCACTCGTCATTGTAAAGAAGAAAATGAACGAAATCAACAACTTGATACATTCATAAAACTAGTGATTGGCGTTGATGATTGAACTCACAAAATATGTTGAAAATAAATATTATTTAAAAGGCATTAAAAGATAGGATATAATCCTTTTTTTTAGTTTCTTAATACTGTATTCTAAGATGTAGATGTTTCAATGAACAATTTCAAATGTATGTATTCGAGAAACTATCAGGGAATAATATACAGTGCAGGAGGATTCACTTATTTTCTTCAGTTTTGTTGTATTTTTAAGGAACTTTAAAAGTTTTATATAATTTTATTGAGGATTGATTGCGCTCTATAATCTTAAAGTTGAACAAAGTATTGAATGAAATTGTTTTACATTGAAAAAGAAATAACTGCTGAAATTTTAGACACGCTTACACTAACTAGATCTTCAATACTATTCGCACGATCTCAAATTGATCTATTTAGCTAACTAAAATAGATCATGCATGAATACTATTTATTCATCATTTATCTAGACAAGTTTGAGTAAACAATTTCTTTTTACTACTATATGATATTGAATCACTGTTGGCATTCTCCAAACATTCTTGCTTGTTTTGTGGAACTCACATATATTTTCGAAGAAAATGGTGAGTGTAAGTTTAAAGGCGAGATTTTTGCGGCTCCCCACCCCCTCCCCATTACAGACACTAATTAGCAGCTTGACTAATTAGGCTGCTATTTCTTCCTTTTTCGATTAGAGACTACACGAAAAAAGCAATGTTTGCCCATTACAGATCATAGTAACGAGATTAGGGTACCATTACAGACCATAGTAACTAGCTTAAGGTACCATTACAGACCATAGTAACTAGCTTAGGGTACCATTACAGACCATAACAACCAGTCTCTGCTCTTGTTAAATATACGAGCTAACAATTAATACTCAATTACAGACATAAGTGCAAATAGGCAATGATCTAATTATAGGTTTTAGAAATCAGGGTAGATTTTTCAGATGAATTATTTTGAATTATTTTAGTAAGCCGAAGGGATATATGTGAGTTCCACATTTTAGCCCCAAAGGGGCTGCACTAACAAGCTTTTTAAATAATAATAAAAATATTTATTTTACATTTCGATGAGTTCGGCAAATTATTTATGCCAATAAAATTATTAGAAAGTCGATTCAATTTTCATTAGTATTGTTGGTTGTACTACTTACAAGAGTTTCGATTAATTATTTCGCGATACACCCACACCCACACAAAAGAAATACATAGAGTTCATCACTTGAAACTCCGATTGAATGAATTTTTAATGTCTGCTTGGGTTAACTAGATATGTAATTATTTAAGTTTGATTTTCTACAAAAAATATAGAATTTAAATACGCTTGAGAGAGAGAACGATCTATTCAAAGAATTTTACTCGAAACTTTCGAAATTATTTCATATACTAATTATACTCGAGAGATGGAGGGAGAGGGGGGAGATTTCCTTTTACTTTACGTTTTTTCTTCTATTTAATATTCTTGCTAATGCTAAATGGGCACAAAACGGAGTGACTATGGCTGGAGGTAACGGAAGAGGGGGTGCTACTAATGAACTCAGCGGTCCTAATGGCCTCTGTATTGATGACGATCAAACAGTGGTTATTGCTGACAACGGGAATCATCGTATCGTCCAATGGGTGGGTGTTACAACGAATGGACAAGTTGTTGCATGTGGTAAAGACGCAGGAAAGGGATTGAATCAATTGGATCGTCCAACTGATGTATTAATTGGTAAAGAGACAGACAGTCTCATTATTTGTGAAGGCAGACGAGTTGTACGATGGTCTCGTGGTAGTGGTACAACACAAGGTGAAATAGTCATTGACAACATCGACTGTTATGGATTGACTATGGATGAACAGAGATATCTCTACGTCTCTGACTACAGAAAACATGAAGTAAGACGATATCGATTGGGTGAGAAGAGTGGTACTCTCGTAGCTGGTGGTAATGGCCAAGGTGATGCTCTCAATCAACTTAACGTTCCGAAATATCTCTTTGTTGATCGACAACAAAATGTATACATATCAGACTGGAATAATCATCGTGTAATGAAATGGAATAGTGGTGCAAAAGAAGGCATTGTCTTCGCTGGAGGTCAAGGCCACGGGCGTGCTCTGACACAATTGTATTATCCTAATGGACTCTTCGTTGATACGTTGGGTACACTCTATGTAGCAGACTCGTCGAATAATCGTGTAATGTGTTGGGCTCAAGGAGCGAAACAAGGCATTGCAATTGTGGGTGGAAATGGTTCAGCAGCAGGAGCGAATCAGTTCAAATGCCCCATTGGTTTGTCTTTCGATCGACATGGTAATCTCTATGTCGTCGATGTTAGGTAGTGGAACTGTACTTGGTCCACTACCTTTCTTTGTCTTTCTCTTTGTCTTTGTCTTTGTCTTTCTCTTTCTCTTTCTTTCTTTCTTTCTTTCTTTCTTCTCGCTTCTTTACTTTCGTTTTCTCATCTTTCGTTTCTTTATTTCTTCTTTTTCTCACCCGTACATCTCTATATATTCCTTTGTTTATGTTTGAAATAAACAGTTATGTATTTTCCACGTCTAGTCTAGATAGACTAACATTGGTGCTGTGACCCGCGTCGACTATTTTCGTCGATTATATTAAGTTATCTTTCTTTTTTTTCCTTTTGATTAGTTTATTCTAACCTCGTGTTGCATATAACCTGGTGTTTTACTTGGTAATTGTGAAATTGAATATTGTCTTGATCTAGAATTTATTACTAATTCTATGGTAATCACTCGTTCACAACATCATCAAATATTTATTCAAGAATTTCAACGATTATCTCGTATCGAAATGGAACATTCCGACCCTTCAATCTCTTCTGATTCCACTGTGTATCGCCCACTACTTACTTCTAATATGGAACAAGAATATTTACGTACATTAGCAAAAGAACAAGTTAAAACTTTGCACAAATTTAGTGGTTCTAATTCAGAAGATGTCATTCATTGGCTTCAATGTGTGGAACAAGTTTTTGATCGTGCTCTTCTACAACCTGTTAATAAATATATAGCTGTACAATTTTATCTACATGGTGCAGCAGCGAAGTGGTTCCAATTTAATAAATCTAACATTAATGATTGGGGCACATTCAAAAGTGAATTAATCAAGGTTTATCAACCATCTTTTCATCAATCGTTACTTCGTATGGAACAACGTCATCAAACACTTGGTGAATCAGTAATGGAATATTATCATGATAAAATGCATTTATGCACACAAGCGGACCCACACATGAGTTCACCTATGATCATTCATTATTTAACTAAAGGTGTCAATGATTCATTACTATCACATATTATTCGTCGACATCCAAAGACACCTGATGAATTTCTCACGATTGCACAAGATGAAGAGAAGATTCAAGCAACGTTAAATGGTTTATCTCACAATTCAGCAACAACAATTGATAATTATCCGAATGATGATTCATATGTTGATCCTTCAGTTACACTTGTTACACGTCCAATTAACCAACACACACGATCATACGCTCGACAACAATCAACATCATATCCTCAACCATTAATGAATTTACCATCGGTTTCGCCACAATTTTCATTTCGTCGTGATTCTCCTCAACACCTTTACCCATCAAATACAACACGTCAATGTTATAATTGTTATCAATTTGGTCATGTTGCTAAATTTTGTCCAAACCGAAAAAACATGTAAAGAGGTATCGTGATGGTGGTACCTCTACAAAAAATAAAAAGCCATTCTTTCCTTCATCATCATCATCAATCGAAGTTCCTGTGAACAACGTTAATATCAAAGTTTTAATTGACACAGGTGCTGCTATATCGCTTATTGATGAAAATACTTTAAAAAATATGAAACATAAAACTATTACTTCATCTTCTTTACAGGAAGTTCATACTGCTAATAGTGGATTTCTTGTCCTTATTGGACTAGTTAATCTTACTGTTCAAATTAATCATATTTATACAACTGTTGATGCTTATGTTACTCGTGATCTTGTTTGTCCTATGATACTAGGTCGGGATTGGATTCAAAAGAACTATGTTAATATTAATTTTTTTTCCAATCGGATGTCCATTTATAATGGTATTTCGTCTATTCCTTTATTGCCTGCATCTCGTAGTGTATCATTAGTTATGTCATTATCACATCCTGTTATTATTCCACCATTTCATGAAACATTTATCTCAGGGTATGTTCCTATTAAAACGTTAAAAGATGTTTTATTTAGACCCAATATAGCATTACAACATACTCGACTCGTTCTAATTCCTCATTCAATTACACATATTAATGATCATCACGGTATTATCTCCATCATCAACAACACTCGTCATTCGAAATCGATTCCACGTAATACACCACTTGGTTTTATTTCTCCAATAGATTCAGTAGCTGATATTAATACTATTCAAGAACTAGCTAACACTTCTCGTCATGTTTCTTCTGAACATTCAATTTTATTTTCATGTTCTCATTGTAATGTTCCATTTTCTTCTGAAACAACATTGTATGATCATCTTCTTGAGTGTTGTAATAAACATTTAACATGTACAACCAGAATTATTTCTAACTTAGTTGAACATATAACTGATCCTGTTAAACAAATGAAAGTTTATTTAATGCTACATCAATATTACCAACTTTTTGATGATTCCTGTTTAAAAGGCATTTATTGTTCTCCACAAAATGCTATTAATACAGATTCTCATGGTCCTTTAGCGGAACATCCACGTAGAACTTCATTTTTTAATAAACAACTAATTGCTGGTGAAGTAAAAAAAATGTTAGATAATGGAATTATTAGTCCTTCTCATTCACCATGGGCGTCTCCTGTTGTAATCGTAAAGAAACGTGACGGTTCACCTCGATTTTGCATTGATTTCAGACGTTTAAATTCTATTACTCGGAAAGACGTCTATCCATTGCCTCGTATTGACGATGTTATTGATAAACTAAATGGTTCTACAATTTTTTCTAAACTTGATCTTCGTAGTGGTTACTTTCAGGTTCCTTTAGCAGTAGATGAACGTGATAAAACAGCTTTTATTACTGCTGACGGATTGTGGGAATTTAACCGATTACCTCAAGGATTGAAAAACTCACCGTCTGTTTTTCAACGATTAATGAATCAGACTCTCGGAACATTACGTTGGGATATCTGTCTTGCATATTTAGATGATATTGTTGTTTATTCAGCTTCCTTTACTCAACATCTTATGGATGTGGATAAAGTTTGTCAAGCATTGCATACATCAAATTTTAAACTAAATTATGATAAATGTTCATTCTTTAATCAAGAAATTACATTTTTAGGTCATAAAATTAATATGGAGGGGTGTTCACCTACGGATGATAATGTTCGTGCTATTCTTCATTTTCCTGTACCTAATTCAAGTAAAGCTGCTCATTCTTTTTTACAAATGATTGGTTTTTATAGGAAATTCATCCCAAGCTTTGCTCAAATATCTTCACCACTTAATAAATTTACTCGTAAAGGTTTTCCTTTTATATGGACGGAAGTTGAACAATCTTCATTTGATCAATTGAAAGTAGCCATCACGTCTCCTGCTGTCCTTATATTACCTGATCCTTCTCAAATGTATACTATCAGAACAGATGCTTCTCGTGTTGGTATTGGTGCAGTACTACTACAACAACCAACGTCTAATAATAGTACTGATTCAAATAACTCATCATATAAACCGGTGGCATTCGCATCAAGAAGTTTAAAACCAGCCGAAAAGAACTATTCAGCTATTGAACTTGAAGGTTTAGCTATTTGGTGGAGTATCACTCAAAAATTTCGATCATATATTGAAGGTCAGCGCTTTATCTTAGAAACTGATCATAAGCCGTTATTGTCGTTAATGAAAAAACCTTATCATAATAGTCGTATTGAGCGATGGATGACAATGTTGCAACAATACGACATAATTATCAAGCATATCTCTGGCAAAGACAATACCACTGCTGATGCTCTTTCACGTTATCCTGTTGATAAACCTGATGCTATCGAAGATGAATCACCACATCTTATTACTTCGTCCACTCAAACTGATGATAAATTAATTAATGTTGTTACAACTCGTTCAATGATGCGAAAACGCCCACCTTCTTCTCATCCCACTACTTTATTACCATCTACTTCATCTAATATATCATCTCCTCTACCATCAACACTTACGTCATTTACTAATACACCTTCTTCATCTACTAATACATCTTCTTCATCTACTGATACATCTTCTTCAGCTAATCATACATTTTCTTCATCTATCAAAAATGTTCAAATACTTTTTGATCATAATACATTAAATCAACATCAGAATCAAGATCCTTCTATATGGAAAATTAAAAACACTTACCCATTAGATCCTAAATATACTATGGATATTCATCATGTCTTGTCGAAGCTTATCACTCGTAAATCTGGACAAGTACTTTCACTTTGTTATATCCCTCCATCATTAATTCTTAATGTCTTATTAGCTTACCATGACTCTACATTTAATGGTGCGCACTTCGGGATTAAACGAACTTTTTATAAAGTACGTGATCGTTTTTTTTGGCCGAACATGTATAAAGATATTAAACAACATATTCTTTCTTGTATTCATTGTCGAAAAATTAAACCCTCTAGACGTAAACCTGATGGACATTTAGTATCTATTGAACCACCTCGTGGTGTTTGGGAACGGATTGCAATGGATTATGTAGGACCTGTCCCTGAATCAGCATCTGGCAATAAATATTTTTTAGTGCTTACTGATTTATTTTCTAAATTTATCGTCACTAAAGCTGTTCCTGATAACACTTCAACAACAGCCGCTAAATTTTTGTTATATGATGTATTTATGATATATGGTGTTCCACTTGAAATTCTTACCGATAATGGACAACATTTTTCTTCTTCTTTATATGAATCTTTACTCACGTTGACTGGATGTTGTCATATTAAAACCACCCCTTATAATCCACAAGCAAACGGTCAATGTGAGCGTCATAATGCTACTCTATTACCTAATCTACTTGCACTTTCTAATCGTTCTAAATCAAATTGGGATGACAAATTATTGCCAACCACGTTTAATTATAATTCTACGCGACATGATTCTACTGGTTATACACCATTCGAATTGATGTTCGCTCGTCATCCTCGTTTTATAGCAGATTTGAACTCTCCTTTAACGACACCCCATAACATTTCTCATTATCATCATACCATGGAACAATTTATTGAACACGTGAAAATTGCTGCTCGAGAAAATACACGTCGAAATCAACATCTTGCCAAACAACGGTTTGATCAAAATCGATCGAATCCACAGTATTCGGTTGGTCAAACAGTACTAATTCGTAATCGTAATCCCTCCATGAACAAATTCTCATTCAAATTTATCGGACCTTATACTATTATTAATCGTATCAGAGATAAAACATATATTGTCCAACATGAAGGTACAGGCCGTCGTGTACAAGTAACAGTACACGATATTCGATCTCTCAATTAGTCCATTCAGTAACTGATGAAATTATGTTAAATGATAAATAAGCTAGGGCTGTAGCCAGATATATATATATATAATGTACACTATTTGCTGATTTAACTCGTTTTTCTTTTCGTTCTTTTCTCTTATGTTTATCGTGTCATTCTTGGTCTATTATCATTTATATCGTTACCACACTTCACGTTTCTATGTTATTGTTATTTTTTTTCGCTTCGTATATTGTAGTGATCTGATAAAATGATCACTGGTAAAGGGTGGAGGTGTTAGGTAGTGGAACTGTACTTGGTCCACTACCTTTCTTTGTCTTTGTCTTTCTCTTTCTCTTTCTCTTTCTCTTTCTCTTTCTCTTTCTCTTTCTCTTTCTCTTTCTTTCTTTCTTTCTTTCTTTCTTTCTTCTCGCTTCTTTACTTTCGTTTTCTCATCTTTCGTTTCTTTGTTTCTTCTTTTTCTCACGCGTACATCTCTATATATTCCTTTGTTTATGTTTGAAATAAACAGTTATGTATTTTCCACGTCTAGTCTAGATAGACTAACAGTCGATTGGGGTAATCATCGTGCCCAACGATTTTCTATCGAATAAGATTTGTGAATTGTTTTTTCTTTGTTCGTTTCTTTTTCTATACTTTGCAATAAATGAATAAAAAAAAGAAATTTTCTTTTACACTCTCTATTCTTTCTCTTATTAGTTTCATTGTATATTGAATTCAGAGTAAATTTCTTTATTTGTGTTTTACTGGCATACCACACCAAGAAATATTATGTTAACATATTACCATGAATTCAGCATAACTCCTTAGCAATAACATATATCTGGCATAGAAAAAAAAACGAACAGACTATTGAATAGAAAAAACATCGAACCTTTATTGTAATTACATAAAAAATATACACAAAAGAATGAGTTTTGGTTTTGATGATATGCTGTAGGTAATTTTATTTCACGAAAAAGCACTTCTGCATAATCATATAGAAAGAATAGATCCCCCTTAAATGATAGAGAGAAAAGCAGTAAATGATTATTCAAAGTAGGATGTGTTGTCTTCTTACATTATGTCGCCATATGCCAGGACGTTTAATATGATGGTTTAGCTAATTCATAGATATTTAATCTACCTTCAAGTTCAATTTGTTCAATCATTGCATATAAGCACAAAATGCAGCTAACGGTAAAAAATCATAGATAAATATAGTTAAAGAACGAGAAAAAAAAGCAAACCAGTTTGATAACCACCGAATAGATCATGAACAACGATGGGACCATTGAATTCTGTATTCATATATAATTTTCCTACTGTACTTGTAAGATTAAATTATACTTTTAGAGGCGAACAAGCATTTGGCCAATAGGTACTTGAAACAATTTTAACCCGTATAAGGTGTGGCTGTGACTGTGGATGTTGGTATTCAATACTTCACACACACACACGCCTCTCTGTATTCGAGAGCTTTACTAAGACTTCAAAGATCTCATGTGATTCCTTATCTATACCATATGTCATCAATAGTGCCAAATTTCAGAAGAATATCAATTTAGCTCAAGTCCCATGAAAAAATTCTATATGATATGAGAGAGAGTAGATGAATGGCTTCGTATAGTTTGGAAAAGCTGACGCACACACATACACACTCTCAAGAATGTACTATCTATAGATACATGAAATAGTAAATGGAAGTACGTACAGCAATTATCCACGGCTACTTGCCACAATAAGGAGAATTGCATCATTATTTGAATCATCGTGGGAGTAACAAATATTACGAAACCTTACCTGTGATGGCAACAATATGTATGGGAGTGAATATGAATGTAGGTCTTCTGTAAGCATACATCAGTATTCATATTCTTATCTTCTCTATCAGTATATTTTGTTCATAACCTTCGAATTTTTAAAATTTTCGATGATCATAAACTTTTATATTCCTTGTGTATGTTTAATCACAACTCTGATTAATGCAGATTCTAACAGATATATCAAATTTATTTTCAAATATCAATACAATTACATAGAAATCATGCGAATGTGAATAAATTATAGATAGCCTGCAAAAGAGACTTGACACTATTGCGTGCTGCTGACATTATGCCAATAGTCACTGTTATTGAATTACGAACTGTCTTTCTAATTGTAGCGAGGATACTGATAGATGCCATTCTCACTAAAGACACAGCGTTGTTAAATGATTTAAATCCATACTGATAGAAAGAGTAGATAGATCTGGTAAATCCCGATTGACTGAGATAGAAAACGAATTGATATACCTGACGCCGTGTATTTTGTATATTATAAATTAAAAGTCTTTTTATTGGCAACAAGATTTGAGTACCAACGAATGAGTAGACCATGAATATACTACGTAACAATGATTTCAGGACGTATTGGAATATGATTATACATGCATACCAAGTATGACTAATGCCATACATGAGATAAATAATACTATAATGAGCTGATCGATATGATATGTAAAATAATGTTAAGACGAAACGAATGGAAATTCTTTTTACTGGTAGTACAATTTGTGTGCAAATAAATGTGTAGATCACTAATAGAACATGCACAAATGATTGGTGAATATAGCGGTAGATGCGTATATATCCATGCCAAGTATGCTTAATACCACAAATGAGATAAATAATAGTATAACGAGCTGATTGATTTAATATGTTCCATGATTTTAAGACAAAGCGAGTGAAAAGTCTTTTTACTGGTAGCAATATTTGTCTGTAGGTAAGCGAGCAGATCATGACTATGCAATGAGAGAGAGGCTTAATGACGTTGTTATACATGAATGTACCTGCACAAAAAATCTGATCAATAGCATACAGAGAAAATCGAATAACAGCGAGCTTCAGTTGGTATAATATATTTTGGAAAAATCTATAAGTTCGTATTAAGATTTGAATCAAGATGAATGAAGCGATTCTTCTAATAGTATAATTGAAAGGTAATAATATATGATAACAAATAAATATATATGATGCTTTGATGATATTTGTCCATGCCCCAACCAATATATCTCGAAGAGTGATCAGCAATAAACGGAGAATATAGTACATTTTAATATAAATGCTTTTGCATAATCGCGCAGTGACTACAATGATATTTCTATAAAAGAACAGCACTGATGGCTGAATAATGCGTCGATAGAGCTTGACACCATAACACATCGTCATATTTGCGATCAATCGGATTCCATTATAGAATTTTAGCAGTATATGATTGACAATAAAAATTCCAATAGATGGTATTATTTCTTTATAAAATTGTATACTCCAATATTGAATGAATTTTTTGAAACGGTTGTAGATTAATTTTATATGATAAATTATTTTTTTGATGAGCGAAATTGAATGTATTATCATGTGAAAACACAAATGAGACGAGGATGTAATTAGATTTTTGCATATGTAATAAACAATATACAGTAAAGATATAATTAGGAGTAGAGGTAGCTTAAATATCAATAAATATTTAGGTCCTTTAAGGAATTCGTATGTTTCATTGGATGCAGGAGAAGAAGAAGAATTAGAACTGGAATTATCATTTTCGGATGGTGATATGTTGTTTTGTTTCTTCCTAAATGAAATATAATTCATCTATGTCTATCAGTAAAATACAAGGTACGGAAAACAAGATAAAATGGAGAATCGATAGATGCTGTATTTTACTCTTCATATAACAGGTCACAATATTAACATTTAGAATATGCAATTCGAAATGAGAGAAACTGAGAATATCATAACGAACTTCGGTAGACAAATCTACCGTATTATTGTATACATTATCTTGCAAGGATAGTGAATATTTTATTCGAACTCATGTAGTTAGATTATGATATTAACTATAAAACAATAAGCAATTCTACACTAATAATAAAAATGACAATACCTGATTCTTCTTCGACTCGGCTGCATACTTATTTAAGAATATGAATGTGACGTTTCAGCTCTGAAACAAAGCTTGATAATATTCTTACTCAAACATGTAAAATCATTCATACAAAATGGAAGAACTTTGGATGATGAAACAGAAAAAAAACAATTCTGAGTCATGTTTTTTTTTATAATCGATTCTGACGCACCCATGTAAGAGAAGACATTTTTTTATTCGATTGTCGACAGTTGTGCCACGGATGAGTCAAATATTGCACAATTCGTTGGCAATACATTTAATAAAATATGAACAAAATTTCGAAAATTGCATATACTGCATTGTGCCATATTCAAGCAATTCAGTTTTTAAATATATTATTTATCAGTTTATTCTATTTTGAGAGATTAAGTCTCGACAACCATGTGGCTGACAAGCTGAATAACATTAGTTATAATCCATAGGCAAAAATGACTCTTCAAGATTTCACATGATGATTTTACTATCTGTGGAAGAGGTATGAATAGTCCCGAGAAATGAGATGGATGGAAGAAAGTTAGATTCCCATCGATTCAATTGAACTGAACGATCTAGTGGTCAACGGCTACGTGTTAAGAAGCATTATGATATGACATTAATACAATTCTTCAAGTTAGATGAATAAAAGGAACTTGTTTCATACAATACAGATATTAAAACAGCTAAATGGAAAAATAATCTTTGATATCAAGATTGAAAGTTTTTTTAATAGTGAAGTTTTGCGAATGATACGTTGGCCTACAAATTATCTATTTTCATTCTATCTTGTAAGTATTGAAGTATTAACACCATAGACATGTAGTTTGTCTGTATTTTTTCGTTTTTATGTTATACATCAACACAATGATTTCTTTCTCATGTAGACGTGAAACGATTATTGAGAAAGTGGCTTTCACCAACATCCAGCATTCATATCGATAAAGCTCTCCACAGCCTATTTTAATTAATTCGCACGAATAAAGCTGTGAATGAGTACCGATTTAGGACATTGGCACTTGTGAATGTTAGTTTTTTTTTCATAAACATTCTTATCCCTAAAACCTCATCAGACTAAAAATTTCAGCGAACTATTGTGGGTGTGGGTGTATGGAC